AGAGAGAGAGAGAGAGAGAGAGAGAGAGAGAGAGAGTGTGAGTGTACCTTGATGTCAGCTCGTAGCTCAACGAGCTGCTCCTCTGTCAGTGATGCTGATTGGTCAGCCAGTCTCTTCAGCTCTTCTGCTCTCTTCTGACGGCCGTTCAGAATCTCCACTATCATGAGAACACACACCTGATCAGCCTCAGTGAACAGCGCAGACACAGTGATCTCTCAGTGACTCCCTCTGTTAGCATTCCCGCTCAATGACACGCGTGATTCTGAGCCAATCACGGGAGCGTTAAATGCAGTTTATTTGGACATACATGTTTGAATCTTCTTTGGATGAAAAAAAAAATCCATAAGGCTATTTTAAGAATCAATTGGAATAAATTAAGTAGTTTTTAATGCATTCAAGTAATTAGACATGTTAAAACTGAATTTGGGAACAATAAAACATGGAGAGAAAAAAAAAATCATAGGCCCTAAACATAATTTTTGTTAAACTTTTAATAAATTGATATGAAATTGTATAAGTTTAATGATTTTAATCAATTCGACATGCTTTTTGATGAATACAATTTAATTTAACCATTTAAAAAGGAGTCCAGAAAAATTAAAATGGAAAAACCGGAATTTGGGAAAAAAGATTTCATAGGGCCCTAGCCTTTTTAATGGTGAAAGCCATACTTCAGTTATTAATTTACAACAGAAACCAAATAAGATATTTAAGACCACTCGTTCCAAAAACGCAAACTAAATTGATTTATATTTATTTGCTTATAAACCTTTTGCAGTGTATCAACAGAATGAAAAAGTATGTTTGGCAGACAATGGCCTCTAATCACTAGTGTAGTGTCCTATCCTGCATCAGCTGTAAATGACGTGTTCTCAATAGTGTTTAAAGGAAACGTCCTTCTTGTCAATACAGAGTTGACTTCATGTAATTTAAGCACTCATCCCATTCCAGTGCTATTTATTTCTGGCATGCACATTTCACTGTCATTGGGAAAGGTCTCGTTTGTGTGTTTCTGTGTGTGTAGCAGTGCTGTCGTTCTACTCACGGGCTTCTGCTTTGACTTTGTCCATCTCAGAGAGCAGCGTCACCTCTCGATCCATGAGACTGAACGGAGAGCAGAAACACTTAGAGACAAGCCCATCTCAGACTGAAGAGCACCTCAATGAACTCAGAACTACTGAGAAGGGTTGATTGTGTCTGTTCACTAAAGTTTGGCATAAACGTGCTGCTGGTCAAAGTGTGTGAGTTTTGATTTTCTAATCCGTCAAATGATTCGGGTTAAATGGGTTCTGTCCTTTCCCTGATTTAAGACATTAACAGAAATCCCACAGGCATGCTTTATTACATGATTCCACGTAAAAGTCTTTAAGTCAGTTTTGTAATGCCATCTAAATGACGTGAGATATAGACTCAACAGTGCTCCGAATACTATTTTTACTCATTGGCTGCCATTTCTGTAGTTTGGTAATGCGAAGAATAAAAAAATTAGACGACAGAGCACTTTTCATTGTGCTTTTACTAATGAAGACAACAGGAGAATTAGTACTTGTACAGTTGAAGAAGCAGAAAAGGACCAACAAAGACAAAAGCTGAGCATAAAAGGAAAATGATGCTCTAAAAATCACTCGTCTGTATAATTGACATAAAACTCAGAGAAAAATCAAGCTAATCCACACTGATAGATGGCAGTACATCACAACACCACTGTGGCATCGGTGCTTAAAATACAAGAACAGCAATGCTAATGCTAAGCTGAAGAACTACTGAATGCACCTTTAAGGCAACACGAACAAAGCAGGCACAATTATTTGTTGACAAATAATCATCAGCCCAAACGCCAAACCGTGACAGCCTTTAGTTGTGTGTATGAGTGTTTGAGAGTGCGAGTGTGTGTGCAAGAGTGTGTGTGTGCGCGTGTGTGAGTATGAGTCTGTGTGCGAGTTGAGTGTGTGTGTGTGTGTGCGCGCGCGAGCGCGAGTTTGTGATAGTGTGTGAGTGAGTGTTACCACGACTTTTATTAATAACAGTTTAAATACTGAATCGCTACATTATATTTTCCAGAAAGGAGAGGAAGCCCTAAAAAGAGAAACGCACAGACGCGCAACTTTCATCTCTCTCTCGCTCTCTCTCTCTCGAATTGGCAATATTTGAGAAAAGGGTTTAGCTATTTATAATTATTGGGGGGACTAGCCCCCCTCAATATCTACGGTGGTTCAACCTGATCAGACATGAAAATATGTTGTGGCACTATCGTGCTGTCTATAATGATATGATGGGTTTAGCTATTTATAATTATTGGGGGGACTAGCCCCCCTCAATATCTACGGTGGTTCAACCTGATCAGACATGAAAATATGTTGTGGCACTATCGTGCTGTCTATAATGATATGATGTTTGTTAGCAAATATTAGCGATTTTTTGCAAACATTTCTTTGAGTAACATGACTGTAAATATGAACTATTGAATGCATATTGAATGCAACATAAAACAAATGATTACTTTTCATTAAAATCTTTATTAATGCCAAAAATGCTAACATTTATGTGTCTTTTTGTTCGCTCGGGCAGTCATGTTGCCCCTGAAGCTGATTTACGCTGAGATAATTCATACCTAGGGCTGGACGATATGGCCAAAATTTATATCACGATATATTTCTTAATTTCGGTCGATACGATATAATTCCGATATCGATATGAACACTATTTATCTGAAATAGAAATCTTTTGTAACATTATAAATGCCTTTATCATCACTTTTGATCAATTTTAAGCGTCCTTGCTAAATAAAAGTATTAATTTCTATAATTTCTTTCCCAAAAAAATAATAAAAATGATACTGAATGGAATAGTGTATAATGTTACAAAAGCTTTTTATTTCAGATAAATGCTGATCTTTGGATCTTTCTATTTATAGATTGAAACAAATGTGCTTCAGCCAGAAAAAAAAGGGTATGAAAAGTGCTCAGAGTCGCTGCAGAAAACAAAAAAAATGAACAACAAAAACTGGAAATGTTGCTGGAGACGGGCTTATTGTAAATGCAAACTGATTCTCTGCCAGCAGGAGGCGCTTTTAGAGTGATAGAACTAGTGGTTTCTCCGGTAACGGCTGTAATCACAGCAGCTCCAAGCTTCTTTATCAGATCAAATGAAAATGCCATCGAAACTTTTCTGAAGAAAGTCAGGTCCCTTCAGAGATGCATTCATATAAAACACCCGCGCCGTGTTATGATTTTGAAACGTGCAGCGCTCATGTTTATTCAACGAAGTCAAACGCCACAAATAAATCAATAAATGGGAAACACTGGTAATGTATATCGAAATATCGGAAATGTGTTTAAAAATCATATCACCGTTATTGAAAAAAATTATATCGCGATACATATTGATATTGAATTATTGTCCAGCCCTATTCATACCGCTTCGTTTGAAGTGTGGTCCTGAAAAATCTTAGTTTGAAGGGCTGTCTGGCCCTTCCCCTACCCCTACCCCTCCAACCAAAAGAGAATTGAGACACCCCTACCTCTTCACGTGAACGTGCAAAACGGAGGGGTAGGGGAAAGGGGAAGGGCTAAGGGGTAGAATTGTGGGCCTAAGTGTGACTGCGTGTGTGTGAGTGCGAGTGTGTGTGTGTCTGAGTGAGTGAGCGAGTGTGTGTGTGTGTGTGTGTGTCTGTGTGAGTGTGTGAGTGATTGTGTGTGCATCTGTGTGTGTCTGTGCGTCTGTGTGAGTGATTGTGTGTGTGTCTGTGTGAGTGTGTGAGTGAGTGAGTGATTGTGTGTGCATCTGTGTGTGTCTGTGTGTGTGAGTGTGTGTCTGTGTGAGTGTGTGAGTGAGTGAGTGATTGTGTGTGCATCTGTGTGTGTCTGTGTGTGTGAGTGTGTGTCTGTGTGAGTGTGTGAGTGAGTGTGTGTGTGTGTGTGTGTGTGTGTGTCTCTGTCTGTCTGTGTGTGTGAGTGTGTGTCTGTGTGAGTGTGTGAGTGAGTGTGTGTGTGTGTGTGTGTGTGTGTGTCTCTGTCTGTCTGTGTGTGTGAGTGTGTGTCTGTGTGAGTGAGTGTGTGTGTGTCTGTGTGAGTGTGTCTGGGTGAGTGAGTGAGTGTGTGTGTGAGTGAGTGAGTGTGTGCTTGTGTGTCTGGGTGTGAGTGTGTGTGTGTGTATGTATATGTGTGTGAGTGAGTGAGTGAGTGTGTGTGTGTATGTGTGTGAGTGAGTGAGTGAGTGTGTGTGTCTGGGTGTGTGAGTGAGTGAGTGAGTGAGTGTGTGTGTGAGTGTGTGAGTGTGAGAGAGTGTGTGT